AATTATCTGACCTCTATACTGATCTGATACCTAATGAAAACTACATCTATAGAAATCTGATACCTTTCAAAAACTACGTACCTCACTTGTTTTACTTCGAGCACTTCGGCTAGGCCATTCACGCCGAAATAAGGCAATGTTCTTATACAGGTCCGATTTGACTACGGTGTTTGCATTTTGTTGAGAAGGACCGTGGACCGTAAAAAAAAGTTCTTTTTTTTTATTGTCGCAAGATGGAGGATAAACATCGCGGGTGCATTAAGTGCATCTAGAAGTCAATCGCATATATGGTGGTTTCATGGGGCGCTAAATTCGAATATGCATGTACTGAAGGAGGGGATATTGATCGAATACATGAACTTGTTGCATGAAATAACGAGAATCTTCACGTGAGCACAGAGGGGTATTTTGCACCCTCAAAATCGGAATCAGAGCCTGCAAAAAGCAAAAGAGGGGCATTCTCCAGTCATTCAGAGAATCCTGTAATTCACGACGTGCCCCCGCGCCTCCCAAGCTGCCGTAAGTTTCGGCCCTAAGGCGTCGTGTGAATTCTGTTATATGTGCACCTAGCAACTACAGACCGATCGCACTGCTATCTATTATTTTGAAGAACATGAAGAAAGCTGTAAAAACTTCACAAACGATAAGATTTACACAAAATTTTTAAACACACGAAATGTCTCGCTAACACAGTAGCTTCGTCCTGTGATATACTGGTACAATGAACTAAACTAACGTTGGCTTGCTTAACTTTTATATATCTCACTTTCCCAACCTGAAGGATTAAATACCTGTGGACAGGTACGATAAAACTCCATTTTCGGAAATTAGGCACAATATCTACATCAAATTACGCTATACCGTATTAACTTGAAAGAGTTGATATCAAATACATATTATTACTTACTAAGAAAACAAATTCAACAGTGGTGAACTATTGGGGTCTAATTGATCATTAAGTGAAATGTCAAAATTTTTGAGTTTGTTGATTTCTAATGATTCAAAATGATTGAGTGTCAGTCCTTCATTTTCTACGTGCAGAATTTCGGAATTATTATCAAAACTATGGTTTTCTACTACTATATGGTTGGTGTATGTTGATTTTGTTTTCTTTTTCATAAAATTCATCTTATGTTCATGAATGCGCTGATTAAACGTACGACCTGTCTGACCGATATATACCTTAGGACAAGATCCACATTTGAGTTTGTTGGGAAAGTGAGATATATAAAAGTTGAGCAAGCCAACGTTAGTTTAGTTTATTGTACCAGTATATCACCTGACGAAGAATTTTGTGGAAATCTTATCGTTTGTGAAGTTTTCACATTTGTCATAGATTTCCATCAAGTAACGGCCAAGTCAATTCAAAATATGAAGAAAGCTCATGAAATACGTGGAACATTCAGGTATTATCAACGATAGGCAATATGGATTCCGTCATCAGAGATCAACTGGTGCTGGCTTACGTCTCACATATTATTATATGGCAGCAATCTATTGAAAAATGTTGTGAACCCTTAGCCGTTTCACCTGATTTCTTCAAGGCATTCGATCGAGTCTGGCACCACGGACTCCTAGCCAAGCTTCCATCTTATGGCTTGCCTCCCCAGTTATGTTCTCTGCTAGCTAGTTTTCTCTCCAACAGGTCTCTCCTTGTAATGGTCGACGGAGTTTCATCTGACCCCCTTATCATGAATGCTGGTGTTCCACAAGGATCAATTCTAGCTCCAACACTATTTCCACTCCATATCAACGATTTGTTGGAAGCAACTTCATGTCCAGTACACAGCTTCGCGTATGATAGTACCCTCCATACCAACTTCCAGGGCTCCAATACCAGCCAGGCAAAGCAGAAACGAACGAGGGTGAAATGTTGACAACATGAATATAGACTTATTAACAATTCTCAAACACCGTATAGAGTAGTTGGCGATCTGGCTCAATTTTAAAGATAAGTTTGTCTTCGTGGTCACTTTGGAGACCTGCAAAACATTTCTTTCCAAAGACTCGTTCATCCAACGATCAGTGAGACACTGGAACACATTGCCAAGGGAGGTGTTCCCCGAGGCATATAACCTCCAGAAATTCAGGAAGAACACCAATTCCTAACTTATTTTCCCTGGTTTTCACGATGTTCTCTGAACATTACAGGATATTCCTCTTCGTGGGAACCAGAACATTCAAAAATATATATTCAAATTCAGCGTGCCCCAAACTCCTCAAGTACCAATTTTTGCGACGTTTCGTTCATTTTGACATTAGCTGTAGGATTAGCTCAGTGAAACTATCACGATAAAGATCCTCTCCTGGAGAATATCAAGTAGTCGGTTTCTCTATGCGCTTTTATAATGTAATCAAGGTCGCAGAATCTGCATCTTAAGTTTGCAAAGGAAATTTCCTGGAGCGTTCCGAGATATTCGCAAAACACAACGAAACTTTCGCACTTTAGTTCTTTGCCCGTAACTGGGAAACTATCATTCAAGCGAGGAGACCAACCCACAAGAAGTTGAAGTAGATGAAATTGTCTATACAGGGTGTATATAAATATCACCGCGAGAATCCAAGGGGTGATTCCTTGTGATATTTCTGGAAATGAAGTTCATATAAACATGTGTTTCAACTTGCTTCGCCTTCGAGATACAGGATATTATAATATATGCGTGAAAAATCTTGTTTCTATTCATTCTCAATTGTCTTTCCATCAACGTCAATAAAACGTTGTGGTTTCGTTAATAGTCTTATGGAGCCTTAGATTCGAAAGGATATTTCCAGTGGCGTCACAGTGGGTAAATTTATCGATATTCATGGTGAATGTCATTGTATACCACCGGTTTCATTGAGTTTCATATTTTTATTGGATTGAACTATTGAAAACACAACTTTCCTACTCCTTGTGTGATTTTTGTATCTAGCTTAGTTATTGGGGGAATAATAAAAGTTCGATTTGACTCCAAATTTGAATGTAGGTGTTTTCATGACTTCCATTGAGATTACTCAATAACCCCAATTAGAATCATTTTGCAATTTTGGGGCTTCCTCATACTCCATCCATACTGAATGTTGGCACCATGAAAGCTTATACAAGGGGAATTATTGATAAAAACAGTTTATATACTTGCAAATTCAACTCCCTGTATCTCAATAAATTAAAAGTAAAAAACACTTTTTGATGAAAAGCTTTCATTCAAACGCTCTAAAAAGGAGAAAATAAAATTTTTCTTAATAATTTTAACTATCAACTTATAACCTCATTATACACAATTAATATGATCATAAAGGATTGTCGCGCGATTCACTAGTGTTAATGAACTAGTACTTATCTAATTATGTAAAATCTGCTGAGATAAAATTTTTAAAATAACAATTTTATTGAATATTGATCATCGTGACAAGCTTTCATGATCATATAAATTGTGTATAATGAGGTTATAAGTTGATAGTTCAAATTATTAGGAGAAATTATATTTATTCATGAAAGCTCTTTATTAGAAAGTTTTTTTTATACTTTTAATTTATTTTTCAATTTTTAGTTATCGCTAGCTGGATTTCTCGATTTACTCAAAACGAGCCGCTTCATTTGATACCCATTTTGTTGAAGTATATTGAGAATGACCATTTCGCCAACTTGGATGGTCCGCCATATTGGATTTAGAATAACGTCACATTATTTTTCGAATTACTCTCAACGAGCCCTTCCATTTGATACCAATATTGTGGAAGTAGATTAAAAATGACAATTCCGTCATCTTGGATGGTCCGCCATATTCGATTTAGAATGATGTCACATCATTTTTCGAATTACTCTTTACGAGCCTTTTCATTTGATACCCATATTGTAGAAGTATATCAAAAATAGCTTTTTCGCCATCTTGGATAGTCCGCCATATTGGATTTAGAATAACGTGGTATCATCGATATCATCGATATCATCGATATCATCGATATCATCGATATCATCGATATCATCGATATCATCGATATCATCGATATCATCGATATCATCGATATCATCGATATCATCGATATCATCGATATCATCGATATCATCGATATCATCGATATCATCGATATCATCGATATCATCGATATCATCGATATCATCGATATCATCGATATCATCGATATCATCGATATCATCGATATCATCGATATCATCGATATCATCGATATCATCGATATCATCGATATCATCGATATCATCGATATCATCGATATCATCGATATCATCGATATCATCGATATCATCGATATCATCGATATCATCGATATCATCGATATCATCGATATCATCGATATCATCGATATCATCGATATCATCGATATCATCGATATCATCGATATCATCGATATCATCGATATCATCGATGTCATCGATGTCATCGATATCATCGATATCATCGATATCATCGATATCATCGATATCATCGATATCATCGATATCATCGATATCATCGATATAATTGATATAATCGATACTGTCTATTTCATCGATATCATCGATATTCTCAACCAATCGATATTAGTGATAATTTTGTTTCGACCCCTTGTTCATGGAGCATCATGTGTATCTAGGGAGAATAGGAAGAAGTTGTATGTGTTGAAATTTGTTTGAACTTCTGAAAGAATTCCAAAGCTTCGCCGAACAAGATTATTAGGTAGGCAATATCATCGTAGAAACGATAATTCTTTATCTGCATTTTTATCGAAATTATCGATGATTATTGATGATCATCGACATTATTCATTTCATAGATGAACCGATAACATCGATTCCATTCCATTCCAAAATCGTTTCAACCCACTGCTAGTTGTCAGTGCTTCATTCGCTTCCGGTACATTCCTGTCAATTTTTGCTTATTATGTATCATCGCAAAGACCCCTTTTTTCCTCGAATATACCAACCCTTCGAAATGTTGATTTAGAGAACTCATCGCGAACTTGTTTTGTTAGGAAACACACCATTCATTATATCATCACCCTATCATTGCTTTCCAAGGCAACGGATCTCCACTTCTGATATTTGAAGTGTCATAAAATTATCGTATTCTGACTTGCCTCCCAAAATTTTCATTGTACAATCAAAATTATTTCGTGAATCATGACCAACATCGCCCCAGTTACTCGTCGAGTGGCGAGGATCGTCTTCTCCACCCTGAAAAAGATCGGGAGCTCGAGAGGAGTCACCCTCAAAAAAATCCACGAGTACATCAGACTGAAATATCCCAACTCTCCGAATGACATTGTGAAACTCAATAACACTCTTCAGAAAGCTCTGGCGTTTGGGGCAGTAAATAAGAGGAAAGACAGGTAAGGCGTGATTTTTTTTAAAAGGGCGTTCTTACAATCGGGTCGATTCTGTTTGCAAATAGCACTATGGTTGTAGAGACGATATTGTAATCTATTCTAATATTCTAATCATAGATTTTCCTACGAGCGTGCGCAATTTGTACTTTTCCGCGTTCATTTGTGTGCGCAAAGTAATACTTTTCCGCACTCAGTGCGGATATGGGTGTTAACCGCACGGCGTGCGGATAAGTGAAACTACCCAAAAATCTCACTGGTATGGAATATTTATATTCATTTTAGTTTCTGTAGACTATTGTATGCACTATGAATGAGAAGCTTTTGTCCCTTTTACTTTTCAACCATTCTTCCCGATATTTGTATTTCACCTCAATATAAATATTAGGAACAAATGATTAAATTTTCTATTATTATATTTTATTGTTATATTATTATGTGATTGTTGTTTAGTTACATTGGTTCGAGTTTCGTTTAGCTGAAATCAGTTATGGAAAATTTGTTGCTATGGCAACCGTTGTCATGGTAGTAGGTAAACAGAAAACACAATCCCGTGGTGAGGAAATGCATGGTTGCCAAGTCGTATCGGGTTTAGTATAGCTGAAATCAGTTATAGAAAAACTGTTGCCATGGCAACGATCGTCATGATAAAGAGTAATCAAAAATCCGATTCCAGTGGTTAGGAAATGCGTGGTTGCCAAGTTGTATCGGGTTTAGTTTAGCTGAAATCAGTTATGGAAAAACTGTTGCCATGGCAACGATCGTCATGGTGAGGAGTAAACAAAAACCCGATTCCCGTGGTGAGGAAATGCGTGGTTGCCAAGTTGTATCGGGATTAGTTTGGCTGGAATTCGTTATGGATAAACTATCGCCATGGCAACGATCGTCATGGTGAAGAGTTATCAAAAATCCGATTCCAGTGGTGAGGAAATGCGTGGTTGCCAAGTTGTATCGGGTTTAGTATAGCTGAAATCAGCGCAATCTTCGACCCTCAAATTTTGTTTGACGAAAGTTCTTGCTAGTATTCAAACAATAACTTGATTCGGATGAATACCCTTCTAATCAATTTCTTGACGACTATTCGTTGTTGATTAATTCCCAAATTACTACTTCTCTGACGATCATATATAGAAATAACGTCAGGAAAAAATAGGCTTTGTTATTGAACAGAGCTAGACAAAATAGCGAGCGACAAAATAGTGCTGAACAAATAGCACGCATAAGAAAGGATACTACTTTTTCTAAACAATCTAACCTAACTCGGCTCAAATGAACCTTTTTAGAAAAAAAATATTTCTCAACATCGATCAGATTTGGTAGCAAGGCATCGTTCGTGTGTGTTTGAAGACTGCATAAAAAAGGACACTACTTTCTCCAAACAATCTAACCTAACTCGACTTAAATCAACCCTCTTCTTGAAAAACATATATTTTCCAACATCGTTCAGGTTTGGTAGCAAAGGCATCGTTCGTGTATGTTTGAAGACTCAGTCGAAATAAAGGCAAATGGAAATGTGGGTGGGCCTAACGAGATGTTTCCATCTGTATTAGACAATCAGTACCTGTAGTCTCAAAATGTTTCTTTCTGTTTCTTTTTGATTTTGTCGAATAGCTCGGCACGCGAAGGATGGTTACATTGAAGAGTGTTTCTGAAATTAATGAATGAAGCAATAATTCTCAGATACAACTTGGCAACCACGCATTTCCTCACCACGGTAATCAGGTTTTTGTTTCCTCTTTACCATGACGATCGTTGCCATGGAAACAGTTTTTCCATAACCGATTTCAGCTATACTAAACCCGATACAATTTGGCAACCACGCATTTCCTCACCACGGGAATCGGGTTTTTGTTTTCTCGTTATCATGACGATCGTTGCCATGGCAACAGTTTTTCCACAACTGATTTCAGCTATACTGAACCCAATACAACTTGGCAACCACACATTTTCTTCACCACGGGAATCGGGTTTTTGTTTACTCGTTACTATATGAAGATCGTTGCCATAGGAACAGTTTCTTCATAACTGATTTCAGCTAAACGAAACTTGAGCCGTTACATTTTTCAATAAGTTATACTTATTTTCATTCTCATTTTTATCTGATATATAAAGCTCGTAGGAAAAACGTTGTTCCTAATAAGTGCGCAAAGTGTCTTTTCCGCACGCAAAAACTTATTCGAACTTCGCTCCGCGTCGTTCGCCTAACTGTATTTGCGTGCGAAAAAGTAACACTTTGCGCACTTGTTAGGAAAATAACTATTTTGGCAATGATGTGTCAATTTCAATGACATCTTGTTAGCTTGCTTGCTACCAATGCAACATTAATTTTGTGCTTGCTATCTCATAACAAGATCGGGAATGGCAGTTTTTCTACTTCAATATCTTCCAAGTATTTGGAAATTCATTGAAAAGGTGATTATGAACATATTAGGAGTTCACTTGTGAAACAAACTATTTGAAAACCTTCCATTGAAGTTTGAATTTGTAGAGGATTTATTGAAAAATCAGCAAATAGGTGATTCATAAACATATTAGTTCACTTGTGTTACCAACTACTTGAAAATCTTTCTTTGAAGTTTCAATTTGTAGAGGAATTATCAGACTATAATTTCGGTATATCATCAGACACCAGCAATCCATTTGACTTGTCTGATGGGAAGTTTATCAACCTATTTCGCTTGAATGAGCCAGCAACGTGAGTTTTTCTGGTCATATAAATCAGGTTCACCTTTTTCCACAAAAAAAACACGATCATTTTCTAAATACTGTCTGTAGGTTAATCGAAGAGGTGGTACATTCATTATTCCAGATTTCTTGGGATTCTCTCTCCTCGTTTCTATAGAATGAAGATATGAATATTATTACAATATACGTGTAGTATAAGGACGAATCAGATGATTTCAGATTCAGTGAATTTTTCTTTTAGGCTCTCTGATAGGGAAATTCTTTGAACGCAGTGATATTTTGGGACAAATCATCTGATTTGTCCTTACTACACGTATATTGAAATGATATTCATATTTCTATTTTGAAGAAACGAGGATAGAAAATCCCAAACAATCTGGAATAATGAACGATCATTTTCATTCGGCTTTTGGTTGTTTTCTTATTTCGGGACATGATTGATTACTTGCACCACTTGCACAACGACAACAGAATCCACCAAATACAAACAATCTTTCAATTTGAATAATATAATAAAGTAAAAAAACTCTTCTTCTTTCATATCAGTGGTTATGACGGTACCTATAATACTTATAACACGAATGAGTTGAAACTAGTGTCGTCAGCTCAAAAATTCTCAATTTTTCACAACATTGCTATCACTCGAGTTAATAACCAAACTTGCAGTTACTGTCCAAACAGAATACAGAATTGCATAGCAGAACTGTTATATTCCATTATTATGACAATATTTTTATCTTAGCAATGTTATAACAAGATCTGAACACACTCGACCCGAATGTCAAGTTTTTTGTAATATTATTATAATCCCTGTGAAACCCTAATAGCACACAACGTTCTAGGGACGTCCTTATTTGGTACAATTCACGTCCGAATGTCCCGAACCAAAAATAAGTGTCCTTGGGACGTCCCATCCCGTACATCTCATGCAATGTCCGAGCAAGGACGTCCACGGAATGTCCCAGCTGGTACATCATTTCAAATGTCCTAGAAATAGCATCCCTTAGACGTCCCACGTGGTACATATTGTAGAATGCCCATGCAAGGACGTCCTTGGCACGTCCCTGATGGGATATGATTTCAAACGTTCCTTTAGGGACATCCATCGGATGTCCCGAGTAGTACATATAGTGGCATGACTTCAGAGCTTATATAATGTCCCTTCTAGACAATCATGAAATGACCCTGATGGTACATTCCTTCAAATATCTCTGCACAGGCGCCCTTAATATTTCCAGGATCGTATAATAATCGAAATGCCCTCAAGGACGTCCTTCGAATGTCCGTCGGATGTCCCAATTGGTACATAAACTGTACTCTTCCAATGTCCTAGAAATAACGTCCTATGGACGTCCGAGTCGGTACTTTCAAAATGTTGTCCCTGCGGAGACGTTAACTTACACCTCGCCGACGAATGATTGCTCGTAGGCTATAAGTACTCCTCGTCAATGTCCTTCACGTAAATCCATTGGACATCCTTGGGCAACTTTTTGGGGACCTTCTATGGACCATCAACTCAAGTGGATGTCCTAATCAGTTATGCAAGATCTGGTCCTGAAGGGACCCAGACAAACTCAAATTCAAGAATAATTCGTAAGTCCCTGGGACATCCCATGGACATCCAATTGATATCCCCCAGCGTTGCTGATAGGTTGTCCTATGGATGTCCTAAGGACGTCCTCTGTAGTGCTTGATGAGGAATACTGTAGGATTTAGGTATTAGATAGTTGTCCCAGGGACGTTCCTCAAGGACGTCCCTATTTTGTCCTCAAGTGGGACATTTGTGCGTCCCACAGACGTCCTATGGACGTCCTGAATGTCCCGACAGAACGTCCTGAGGATATCCATGGGACATAGGTGTGTTATTAGGGTTGTGAATGCTAATGTGGTCCCTTTTATGTTCATTTGAGATGTGGATTCCACAGGTGAGTTCACCTTCTTTTGATCATGAGTATGCGTGAAATGCACCAACACTAAATACGGAATGATATTATGATCATGAACCAAAAATTGAAGTCTACAGGGCGGGTGAAATCGTACCGTAAGAGAAACAGGGTCAGTTCAAACATATTTTTTTGTCACACCTTCTTGATATACCCTGTATAATCAGGAATAGTTTCTTGGTATGTGGTCTATGATACGAATGAAGTCGATGAAATAACTCAACTAATAATTGAGCTGAATAGGAATAGAGGTTAGATACAAGAAGTACTTATCAGTCCATCAATATGGTAGGTTCTGACTAATGTTCTCGAAATATCAGATGTCTCCTATAGCTGTTCTGATGAACAGGGAGTGTCTTCTTGGAAACTGAACTGATATCGAAAGAAAAAAGAAGATACGCCCCTTCAAGTCAATTAGAATGATTGAAATCAGCGTGATTGAGCCTTCCGCACGGAAATTTGTGAAGTGGTGATGTCAGAATTGCGACAGTGTAAAACTCTGGGTGGATAAAGGAATCTCACCCCAAATTTTATTTTCATCCCTTCTGTTTCATTGTTACAAGTTTCGATTGTATTGTATGATGATCCCATCCATTTCAATAATGTCGAAGATTTCGAATGAAAACCAATTTTTAATCTAGAAACTGGCTCTATAGAGATTTTGTTAAAGTTTGGGAACATCTTGTATTGTAGTTAGTATGATCTCCATCAGTGGAGAATGAGTTGTTGAAGAATTCGAGACAATAAAGAATGACAGATACGAATCGATCATTGCTCAGAAATAACCTTGAACGGTGAAAGTCAAAGAAATATAAAATGAATCGTCCAAAATTCGAATGCAAACAAGAGATCATGAGGTACAATGGAGTTATTGAAAAGGAATTTTTCAGGTATGTACTTGGAAATGTCCTTAAAGGCATGATCAAAGGACACGGAAGCCACAAGATAATCCAGGCCAGACGTAGAAGGAGTAGAAGAGCAAGAAGAGGAAGAATAGGTCGTGGAAGAAGGAGGAGGGGTGGCAGACGAAGGACCATCAGAAGAAGACGATGAAAACTTTTCATTTTTTGTCCGTCCCTGTATTTGTCGGCTCAACTCGCTATTGCGTTGCCAATAAATATCTAACAGTTTTTGTCTATTCAATAGTTTGTTTCAGTAAATTGTGTGATGACGTATTTCTGAGCAATCTCCATTACTATAAATACTTAGTAGTGAATACCAAACGTTCAGTAAAATAGGCGCCACAGTCACTACATTCGTCAAATAATACCACAACATAATTATAGTATCATACTATATTATAAGTATCATTCCATTTTGTACTGATAATATCTGATATGGCATCGTATTTTTCAATTTTTATATTTCAATAATCTTTATTATTCTCAAGAAACATATATGTTCACAGAAAATCATTTTCAAATCATATATATAATACATATAATGATGTTTCTTCTAGAGACTGTAGAATATAAGTTCTTGAATTGATTTAGAATGATGTAGGAGAATCAAAGACATAAGTATTTTTCCAGTTTATTTTTTGAATTTCCCAACACTTAATTTTTTCTTCAGTCTGGCAGGTGATTCATTAACTTCTGGAGATTATATGTTGTTGGGAATACTTCCTCAGGCAATGAATTCCAGAGCCTAGCCGTTCTATGGATAAAGGAGTTTTGATAAAGTATATTATTAGATGAATGTAGTGACTGGCACCTATTTCAATTATTGACTTTTGGTGTTCACTACCTACTATTTTTTTCAGTGTACCTGAAACCCATTCTATTCAAATTCCACCCATTCAAAAGCTCGAAACACTGAAACCTGAATTTTGAAACTTTTGCCTGATGATGAACTCAGATATACATCATTGAAACACTGAGCACTTCGACATTTTTCATCCCTCTGCTTATGATATAATATTCAGTAGTAATAGTTAGTATGCCAAACTATAAGAGTGTCCTTTTTAGCAGTTGAAATGATCCGACCGCGAAACAGGAGGAATATTCTGTTAGCTGACACGATTTGTGATTCTGCAGGGAATTTGAGATGTATAACCTTGAAGATTTTGAAGTTCGAATTGTGTTCGATGTTCGATAGTAATTCCTACTATAAGTACTTCAAACAATTCCAAGCGGAAGTATTATTTTGTGAAACTGACACGATTTGTAATTACGCAGGAAGTTTGAAATGTATAACCATCTTCTTGGGGACTAGTATGAGATAGGTATATCTGACACCACTCAAACAGGGTCAATCCGATTGAATGGGTGATCGAATAATTGCGAACCTGAAAATGTAACGTTCGGTTCTTAAATCTTTTCATAATTACATTGCAGGAAATTTTATTCATTCCTTCAATTACCACAAGCCAGAACTGAATAGGCCGGAGTGTTGAAAGCGATTTTATTTCAGAGCAAACCGCATCAGATCAAATACTAGCAAGTGGTGTCTTTATTACCACCTCTTCAAAGACTGTACGAATTCACCTCGCAATAACGGTTCTTGAGGCCGTACAGACCTCTTGTAGTGATGAACAAATAAGATAAGTCCTGAGATTGTCTTCTTGCTTGTGAGAGATCTATTAACTTCTTTGCCCAGAAACTCATGTTGAAATTCAAAGCTTTATTTTCATGAATTCTCTATCCAGATTGCCTATTGGAAGCCTAGTCCGTTCTAGAGCCGGAAAAAAGTCAAAAAATTATATAATCAGAAAAAATCTGAAAGTTTCCTTCATCAATATTCAACAGGGTTGAATCGTTGATGGTTCTGCCGGGATAGGAAGAGGATTGCCATGTGTCTAGAGATCTGACAATGCCAATCAGATTGTTATTGCATTTGAAATTGCTACAATCTTTTTGAGAGTTGAACCGTTGAGATATTGTGGTTCTACTCAACTCGAAGACTATTATTCTTGTCCCACTGACAAACATTCCATCTTGGCAACTCCTCCAACATACAGAATGTTGAACACATACAATGAAAATCAATGAAAACAAATAGCAGTATAAATTGCAGTGAGTGTATATGAATTTTCAAATAAGAAATGGTACGTACCTACTGACAGAAAACACTGAAGTCTATGTATATAGTATTCGATAAATCAGATATATCGCCTTATCATGAAACAAGACCACATACAGCTGATTTGGGCAAATATTAAACATCATATCAACTATTCACTACCTGATGCTCAGCATACCTTTGGAAAATAATGATTTTACCGTTGGCTTTCTTCTTTGGGAAATCTAGTTTATTCAATATAGAACAATCGACTCACATGTGGTGATTTTAGGAGTGTTGGTGCCATTGGGGACTCATGAGTCTCATTCGATTTCAGATATAGTCATTTCATATTATCAAAGAAGAAAACAAAGAGAATCGAGTCGATCTGTTGGTTTTTTATTCGAAAAAATTTGGACCCCTTCAAGATGGATGTATGAATTGTAGAGATGTATAGATGTATGACTCATTTCAAATTTTGAAGAATTTTTTTTTGACTTTCTTGATGGATATATATGTCTTATTTCTATTTTTGCGTACATGTCCGGTTGTCGTGACCATCATCAGTCTCCTGGAATTGCCGAGAAAAAAGGAGAAGAACAAACAATCATCAGCTTTTGTTGTTTGTTCACATCTGGATATACATCCTGAAGAAAATATATTCTTCTATTCTTCTTTATTTTGAGCTGAGCCACATTGTACACTCTCGAATATACGTGGATATACATAGAGCAGTTTCACCAATCAGAAATTTGAAATTATTGCCATATCTATAGTTTCTCACATACAAACATAGCGCGTCGACAAATTTTGACGTTTATGTTTGTGTAGGACTAACTACAGAGATAGTTGTTGTAGACGTCATACTGCAACCAATTTTGACTGTGTATAGTGAGCATCATTATTCTTGGTATGCCTAATTCAGAAGATATTCTGCTGATTGACTTCACATCACCAGACATTGATAACACAGTAATATTCAACTGTCCATACCAAAATTGAATTCAACAAAGCATTCTGATTTGACTCGTAAGAGGAAAAATATTTACTCTAATTACCTACCACCAGATCATGAAACATTCATGAGATTCAACTAGGAAGACGCCATGATTTCAGAGTGGAATGCAATGAACACAAAGACGGTGAGAGAAACTCAAACTCAAATCCATTTCTACACTAGTTCATAAAATGATGTCACGCAGGTAGCTTTAGCTGCCTTTAATTTCCCGAATACTTGGGGTCTCCTGACCGAAACCACAAATTTGCGGCTACCTCCTGTTTGTTGGCTGCTTTATTTTGTTTTTCCACTGTACTGATAAGTGTCAAAAGCCCGAAATACGTATCTACGGTTAACTTGTTTTCAGGGCTTTGTCCACCATTTTCTTTTTCGTTATTTACAACAATCTCCTCATCATTCCTTTCATCATGTTTGTCATCCTGCGTGAAATTCACAGGTAGCTATAGCAGCCTCCGTGGTGACGTTATAGTTTGCCTGAATACTTGGGGCATACTTGATGAAACAACAATAGTGCGGCTGGCTTCTGTTTGTTGACTCCGTCATTCTGGTGTTTCGTCGTCTACCAATTGTTGCCTATCTTCCGCACTTTCTTCACCATCCAAAAGCCAGAATCACGTGTCGGCAGTCAACTTTTAATGAGTCCACTTATTTCTTCTCTGGTTTACAACATTACCCTCAATATGTGTTTCTTTATGTTCGTAATCCTGAACTTGGATGTCACGCAGGTAGCTATAGCTGCCTCTGTGGTGACGTTAGTTGTTTTCCCAAATACTTGGGGTCGTCCTACCCAAACCAAAATAATAGTGCGGCTAGCATCTGTTTGTTGACTCCGTGATTTTGTAGTCTCCCGACATGTGTTGCCTATCATTCGCACTATTTTCACCCTCGTCGAAAGATAATATCTGATGGACCAGTGTGGGACTCATGTGGTTCTCGTACTACAAGTATTCTAATCCACATGTTGAGTCCTACATTGGTCCATCAGATATTATCTTCAGAGGGGGTTGAAAAATTCTCGAAAGTATTGATGCTGCCATTAACTCAGGTCAGTTCGAGTCGTGGCTCTAATGGATATTTGCAAAGGCGACTTTATCCCCATTTATTTGCCTCTTGTTTCAACTCGTTATCACATGACCAGAAGTATGTCTGGAATAATAGCATCAAATGAATCGCTGTGCCTTGGATTTGGCTCAGACTGATGAGGGGCGGTACAGGTAGGTTTTTGAAATCGATTGGTATCGGATGGCATAATTCTTATCTCGTTATCGTTAATTTTCCAATCATTCTACTGAGGATGGTGATTGGTTATCAGATGACGCTCAAATTGATTTCCACAAATGTTCATGAAATCAACTACGATTGTAGGAGACGGGAGAAAAACAACTACTTTCCTGGCTGATGCCACGCAGAATATTGAAATATATATCCTCCCGAAAGAAACACTTGCATTGATATTCGATTTTACGTATCGATGCATAGATTTCTGGTCTGCGTGACATTATATCTAGGAAAGTAGCTGTTTTTTTTCCGTCATCAACCATTGTTATTTATTTAATGAACATCAAATCAAATCAAATCAAATCAAATTATACTTTATTGTCGGAAGAATGAAATTCTCATTGACAAAGTGAAGAAATATATAAAACTTATGCATTAAATATGTATATGCGTACAGAGACTACAGGGAATAAACACAATAAAATTAAAAGAAACTTACAATCATATTAATATATAAGTCAATACAAACAAAACACATTAAAACTTATTGAAGATGTAAACATAAAAAAGATAAAAAATATAAAAAATATAAAAAATATAAAAATAATAAAAATGATATGAGATCCTGATAAGGTATCACAGTCAAAAATAGAAATTTCAAAATACTATATCTAGTATCTAGACTAGCCTATGGATTCTCCATATTTAGTTAAGTTATTGAAGAGTGGCCTGGAAAAACTCCTGAACATCATAAGGAATTAGATCTAGGAGAATATTCTTCACAGATGATCTAAATCGTTTATACCCTTCAATGTTCCTAATGCTCCATGGAATATGATTAAACATTTTTACTGCATTATATATTAGTGAGTTCTTGATCTTGTTGGTAGAGGGAATGGGAA